AGAAAGAAAAATTAATTAAATTATATTTAGAAAGAAAAATTAATTAATGATCAACGATAATACCAGAAACTGATTAACCACGTTTATACATAGATTAATATTGAACATTCACAAGCTGAAAGAGAATTTTGACGATTATTAATTGATTTAACAATAGATTTAAATGATTGACATGTTGTTTATGGAAATGAAGTATTGTTAGAGAGACAGATGATCATGATCAAGCAGAAGAAAATAATCGACTAATAAAATTTAAAAGAGATATAAGAGTTCATTAAAGATCATTGTGACTATCAAAAATCATTTTTTAAATATTTCCTCGACATATGCTCGGAGAACTGAAAATGACCGTTTCTCATATCACAGACGATTTAATAGAAGCATCAGTAATTCGAACCGAAATCGAAATGAAAACAGCTGACCTCAAGAACGAATTCTCTGATATTTTCCCACCAGACATGGCTATGACGAGAGGTTAGAATTATCAATGTTAGAAATCTATCTTTTATACTGATTCATCAAAACAAATATTCATAAAACGACACTACACGATTCAAAGAACACAAAAATACAAGATATCGAAATTTATGATAGGTATCAACGAACTTCAAAGCTTGAAAAGACCTATGAAAGTTCTAGAGATTTCAATAGATATTAAAAACTATCACTCAAAAACCAAAGTCTCTGCTGTTATGTTTTTGTGAACCTATTAAAAAAAGAAATAGCTAGGGAAGGAGAAGACCAATAGTGGTCTTAAAGAGTTCAAATACAGATATTTTAACATATCAGAATTTATTCAAAAACTTTACGGAATTTGAAGATCGATAGATCTCTATTGTTTCTCACTCAATAACAATCTATTATGATTTTTGAAGTTATCGAATGATTACACTTTAAATGGAAGTTACATTTTTGAAAAAATATATTTATCAAGTTTGATTTTGGAAATAGATACTTCAATATAACATTGACCTTTTACTCTCACTTAAACATAAAACTACAATTCCAATAATTCTACATGATTCAATTTCTTTATTTACAACAATTGAGCTAAATAATATGTAACTAGGAACACGAGAAGAAAATCCAAAGAAAATGAATATGAATAAATGAATGAATAACGAGAGATTCGATCGTTTTTCTTTAGAACTATTATGTGGATTATATTCTCATCTTAATCATTTAGATACTGATGATATATTAATTAGTCTGGTTATAATTATATTAAAGAATATCATTCTATTCATTTTCTTATTGTGTCAGCATTATATGAACTTATTCATCATTATTCTTCATGTATGTATCATGCTTTACAATACTAATCAACACAATTAATTCTTAATCGTTTATTGATATTATCATCAACATCATCATTTCCATTTGTCTATAAACTAGCTCAACGTCTTCAAATTTTATCAAAAATCTAACAAAAGATACTGTATTTAAGTGTTATTGATTCAATTTAAGCTGCTCTTTTTTACTGAATGATGTTGTCTGTATATCACTCACATCATTAATAGTTAACAGATGAAGAGGACGAGGACGAGGATGAAAGCGAGAGTATAGGCATGAATCCAAACTATAGTGCCATTTATCTAAATGTTTCGACTACAAATATGTATCGAAGCTATTCCATCTTGTCAATTAAATGTATTATGAATTTCTCTGAATGTTTTAGAGATTGTCTCCATTTCCTGGAAACTAATATAAAGTATCGAATTATCAAAAGATAATTGTTTCGTCTTTTCAATAATTACTCTATTTCTTTCATTGAAAATTATCAAATTCAGTTATTTGCAGATGCGACAGAAGATTCTTTGAGAATAAGTAACAAATTGTTTGTAGAGTTATGCTCAACTATGAATAAAACTATCAAATTCGACACTATATCTATGTCGTGTCGAAATTACATCTATCGATGAACGTTATAACTTCATCAACAATTTTGACGAAGTTACAACTTTGACAAGAAATTTTGACGAAATTATTTTAGATCAACTGAATATGAAATAATTATCAATTAATTGAAAATACTAAAGCTAAAACAGATACCTATAGTTCTATTCTCAATTTAAAAAATACATATGATTTTTATAAACAAAAATAACGAAAAATTATTCAGATATAAGACATTCAATTTTATTATTAGAATGCATTATTGTAGATGTTTCAGGCAACTCTAAGTTTGTAGGATAATGGATAGATCTATAGAACACTAACTCTTGATTTATACATCACTTAACCATGCAGTCAAAATAGTTCCCACCATTTATCTTATTCCGGTATTTGTCGATCTCTCTATGAATTCTCGATCTACATTTCGATATAAAATGTTGAGATTGATAATATAGATAAAGCGGACAACTAACTAATGATGAAAGCAAAGACACGATCAACGTAAAAAAATCTAGCTCATCATATAGAATAACTCGTTAAATCAGTAGCACTGAAACGTGATAAATATGAGAAAGCTAGTTAGGTGAAGTCTTTCCTTGACTCAATGTCAGTTTGAGTTTGGTAAGCATTTAACCTGTTCCCGTACTAGTTAGTTTCCTTATTAATATAAAGTGAAAATATTGTTCATATCAGCATGCAGTATTCCAGAGATCTATTTCATTAACCACAAACTTAGGATTGATGGAATAGATCTATAATCAAGTACACTAATAATAAAATTAAATGTTTTATTTTTGAATCATATCTTTTATTTTTGTTTATAAAAACCTTATATATTTTTTAAATTGAAAAAACAACTATAGGTATCTGTTTTAGCTTTAATATTATCAATTAATTGATAATTATTTCATATTCAGTTGATCGAAAATAATTTCATCAAAATTGTTGACGAAGTTATAACTTCGTCGATCGATGTAACTTCGACACGACATATACATGTATATATATATATATATATATATATATTAGATTAAGTTACTCTCACAAACAAGTACAAGAATTTGATATAATAGAATAAGATAATATATATTTAAAGACCAAAACAAAGAAAATCTACAGATATACAAAAGAAAATAGATGAAGTTAGACACTATTAACAATAGTATAAGGTTCTTGTTTGGATTGATATTTGAGTATAGATAAATACGATCTGATGATTTTATGAATATAATCTTTAATAGTGAAGCAAGCAGATATTTTCTTTGATCGTTTGACCGTAGAATCAGATGTAGTGTTCTCATCCAAAACCATTCGATGATTTGTATATAAACCATACTAAAAAGTTTTAAAAAATATTATTTCCAATGCATATAAATCAACGTTCTCTTCGTCTAATCATAAAAAGTACATATTTGGTGAGAATATTTCTGTTTCTCAGCATTCATGAAAAGACTTCACTTAGATATTCACTTCTTATAGACGTTGAACATTTTAGAGATATTTCTCGAAATTATTTTACTAATTTATAGAGCCTATTAGCCTAGAATTAACTAGAATTCTACTTGACTTTCACTGATTACTTTTCCATTTACAAATTTAGCTCATATATACTTAAAACTTTCGACATGAGCTTATTTGGTATAGATGTGACTAATATTTAGTACCTAAGTTTCTGGTCGGATCAAAACAGAGTGATGGAATGCTAAGTGCAGATATTATACTTCAATGTTTCTGAAAATATCTTCTTCGAGATTAAAATTGATAAAGATCTCTACAATTTGAATAAAAACAAGTGATGAAAAAAAAAAATATTTCGATTTTCTTCTATTTAAATAAACCTTATCATCTGATGTAAATGAAATCGTTTTTTGTGAGATATTATAGTGTATATCTGATTGAAAGTCTAACACATAAACATATTGAAGAGAAATGAATCGTTTTCAAATAATTTTCCATAATCTAACATCCATTTCACTTATTTTTAAGACGATCATGAGAATTAAAGAAATCTTTGACTCATTGACATAAACAATACTAAAAATCTACCAATTCTTTAGTCAATCCTGACCGTATGAAATATTTTAGTAATTTGTTTAATCAAAAATAAATTGATCTTTCTCATGTGTTTTTGATTGACACAAATAACATATCCGACAACGAGAGATAAACTGATAAAGGATAAAAGTGACACAATTGAAATAGTCTAATACTGATCAAGTCATAGACTAAGCCTTTTCTATGTAGATATCTTCGGTTTGGATCGTGCATATAAAAAGACACAAGACAACGAATTAACTTCTACGAAGAAAAACAAAACATTTGATTTTCTACTACTTAATTACTCACCAAAATATAAATGTTTTCGACAGCCAAGAGAATTGAGATAACAAGTGTACATGATGTAAGAATGACAGCAATATAAATAATATGTATTCGTTTTGAATCATCAGTTGTTTTCTATGAATGACATAAAAATGAGTTATATTATTCATGAAACATTGCATATTTACACTGTGCAGAATCATATCATATATTGTAAAACTACAGATTATAACCATTAAAGTAGAGCACAGACTGGAAAATGCTCGATAGAAAATGGATTCATTCGAGAATTCATCACTTTTTTGTCTTTCAGATGTAGATGACGATTTTGATGAAATCATTTTAGAGTTCATCATAAAAATGAAGATGAGATTGTTATCAATAAAAGTTGAATATATTAATCTTTTATATAGTAATAATAATATTATAATCTATAATAAAATAATTCATAGATTAAGTGAAAATCACTCAAGTTCATCTACAGATTCATTTATCTAGTCTACTCTTATCGATCTTACTTGTATTTTCTAATCTAATCCTCAGTGGTTATGCGGAAGAGGAGTGTAGATTTAAGACGTGTGGGACCAGTTCCGGGACCAAAATTTGAAGTTTTACCGGTAGTAGGAATTCAAGAAAAAAAAGTTATCGGGATCGAAACCAAAGAAAAAAAAAATTGTTCCAAGCGAAACTAAAGAATTTTCTATCATTTTGAGCAAATTATCTCATAAATCGCACTGATCAAAACAAAATTCAGGAGAGATCACCGAAAAAATGACGTTTTGTCGACTAAATAAGTCAAAAAACGACTATTCAAGAACATTTTTAGATTTTAATGTGAGTAAATTTTGAATAGTTTGCTTCAGACTGAGACCGGTACTAAAGACCGGAATAGAATTACCGGGACCGGAATCGGGACCACGAAAAAAGAAACTACCAGTACCAGATCAGGACCAAGACTAAAAAACCTTGGTCCCGCACATCTCTCATGTACATTATTCTATTATTTCTGAGTAATACAATCATAGATTTACTGTTCATTTGCAGAGACAGTAAAGAAAGAAAACAATGGAATATACAGTTCTAACGAAATAATTGATATTTCTCTCTTCAAACATAATTAAATATGAATATTATATTTTTTTCAAAATATTATTATTGATGTATACATCGTATCAACAATTTGATCTGTTTCATCCACGTTTTCTTAAATCGAAGAGAAGTGAAGAAGAAACGAAAAACAGGCAAATAATTTTTTATTTATTTAATTATTCTCTTCGTTGATTTGTTAATATTAATTATCTACTTTAAATTCTTTTCTCTAGCATTTCAAAGATCTTTTTTTTAAAGATTTTAAAAGTTTTCTAATTGAAGTTGTAATTATTTTGTAATAAAGATTAAAACTAAAGTGAAGATTAAATATTTATAAAATATTATTTTAGATTTTGGATTTAAAAGAATATTCATTCTCCTGATTTTGAGTGAAGATAAAAGTCAGAAATTGTCTTCAATAATTTCTCTAACAATATCTCAATCATAATAATTGTAAGAGAATGAAAACAAATTCAATTTTAAGATACATTAAACAAGAAAAATATGACAATATTAAAATTAATAGAAGAGATGAACATATTTCAAAAAATAATTCTCTTTTTTAATCATTTAAAAATGTATAATACATATACAATACAAAGACTGAAATGAATGAGAATATTTTAATTTGAATTCTATCAAAAGAAAAAATTTATTTTCATGAATGATATGCATTTTCATTTGATTTGAGATATTATTATATATTTTACCAACGACAAAATAAATGCCCGTCGTATTTTTGATATAACTTTTGATAGAAACAAGATAGAGAGCTGCGGTTTTCACCGTTGGAAAGAGGAGATAAAGACGCATCAAATCACATGTTACAGACATTTTAACCTGGTTTTTGTAGGATTTTCAAATGAGCTTTTTGTACAACAACGTTGTTGATAGATGACTACAGTGAATTTTCAATTATCTGATGTAAATTGAAAGCGCCAATTGAAGACCTATAAAACTGTGCAAGGCTTAGATTCTTAGCTTCAATCATTCAAGAGTTATAGGTATTCTACTCGAAACTATAAGCCGATTTTTCTAGCAATTCCTCTGAAAAAAGCACTATTTTTTTTCGCTACCTTTTTTAGATAATTGGTTCAAAAAGTCTCAGAAAATATATTTAAAAAAACTGTAATAAATGTTTCGATGCGTCTTCATCTCCTCTTTCCAACGGTGAAAATCGCAGCTCTCCATCTTGTTTCTATCAAAAGTTATATCAAAAATACGACGGGCATTTATTTTGTCGTTGGTAGATTTATTCACTTAGATTAATATGTAAAATAATCAAAATGAATTATTCTAGCATAAATATTGTCTAAAGTAATTCACAAAAGATTATGATTTAATTGAGCCTGTCGTGTTGAATTAGTTTTCTTTTTTAAATAGAATAAATACACATATGAGAAGAATAACAGAATAAATTGTGCTTTATTATTGCTTGAATTAATCTAAAGATGTTTAATAAGAAAATCTCAATCTTTGATTGTTCAAAAATCATTTGACATTTTAACTGATGAACAAAGAAGAATCTGCAGAGAAATAATGAAAAATTCTATCTACAACATATTTAAGACTATAATGATGATCATTAGAATGATAATCATGAAGAGATATTTACATTCATTTATTCAATTAGAAAACTAAAAAATATATTGACAACATATTATGTACTTTTTTCTCACTATATTAAATGAACTAATCTATTCTCATATATATGAAAATCATTAGTTATGTATATGTATGTTTTAGGATTGACGGTCTTAGATAAAATGAAAGAGAAACTTACCGTTTCTATTAAAATACAAATGAGATTAAATTTATAGATTCTCATGAAAATATATCGATAATACTTTCTCAATGTGTTTAATAGAACGAGTTTGAATAAATATGAAGATTTCTAATCAATCAAATCAAAACAATTTTATTCGATTTAATTTCTATTTCTGATATGTCTGCAATAAAAGTATATCGTTGAATAAAATTTATTCTGTCAAAGTCGATGAAGTTAATTATTTTCTAAAGAAAAAAAAAACAATCAAAACTTGCTTTTTGTTAAAAAAAAGAATTTATTGTAAAGAACTTCTTCACCTAACAAACTCTTCAACACATAACAATTCTTAACTTCTATTACTTTTAATAACTTAATCTAATGATTATAAATCATGAACTTCTTTATATTTCAAATAATAATACCATTCGAGAAAATTAATATTTATCAAAATACTCTATTTGAATCTTATAGAAAATAAAATAAATTTAAGAAAAATTCATTTAATATGAAGTTCAATCTGAAATCTCGTATTTTGACTTTAACTTACTTGTTTTAAAAATAGAATTACTTTCAATCAATTTATCTCAATTTGAAAAACAACCAATTACAATATATGTATATGTAAAAATGTTTACTTTACATTGATGTTGTTAAGGTATTTCAATAAAAGATAAAATTGATTTAAATCGATATTTAGCTACATAGTAATAGTCTTTTAACATCAAAAGGAGACGATAATCACATTAAAAAAATCTTTCACTATTTATAGGTCTTGTTTAAAAGATGTGTTGATAAAGCAAGTTTATGAATAAAAAATATAAGAATTTTAACGAAAATAAGCAAGATATTTTATATCGAAAAGAAATAAATACAGATGATAATTTTTTGTTCGCTTTCAAACTCTACTAATACATATGATAAAATATAAGAAAAAAAACCATAATATAACTCTAAAAAAATAACATCAACTCAATATAATAAGAAAAAGTGAGAATACATACATACTCTAATCATAACAACAAAAGAAAGGAAAATATTAGACTGTCTTATCAGAAAGGAAAGAAATTCCTCTCATTTTGTTGCTCGGCAAAGGACATGATGACTAGTGCGTCTATGTTTCCAATCAACAACTAAGATAACAGATGACGCTAGTATATGTAAAGTATTGCGCTACCCAAATCGAGACGAACGTAGCTAAAACGCGTTTGCCACGTGCTGCGCCAACGCATGTCGATTAAGTAGCTCTGCACGTGTGCGTCGCGTTTCAAACGCATTTCTTATTCGTTCTCCACACGTTTTTGGTGCATAAGCACATTTGTGATGGTACTTGCGACCAGGGTTCCCGATTATTTTTGAGAGTGGGGAGAGGGGAGGGACTAAAAATTTGGCAGAAAGTCTATAAGTTTTTCGCAGAAAGTCGACTTTTTTTGCAAAAAGCTTCAGTCTACTAAAAAAGCAGGAATTCTTTATTAGAGATAAAAGCTAGTAATCATGCCTTATTCGATCTAAAAGTTCGTCGACATAAAATATTTTTTTCGAAGCAAAAAAGAAAAACAAATGTTTTAATAACTAGTCTTCATCACTATCTTCTTGTGCCTCTGCATCATCATCTTCCATGAAGATTTTGATGCTCCTGGTTTTTGCTCAACTTGGATGACTTATAAAATCATGAATGATATATTGGATGGCTTCTTCTGTCAAAGTTGGAACCAATGTTGCAACTTTTATACATATTTCAGCTACTGAGTTGCTTATACGATTACGTTGCCATGATTTAATTCTTCTCTGTGAGGAAGATGAACGTTCAGCTTCATTTGAACCAACGATAAAAGTAGCTAACACTTGATACAATCTATACCATTCCGGTGCTTGTTCTTATCCATATTTGGCTAAATGTGTTAATATTGATGTAATTGTTGTCTTATCTTTTGTGAATGTTAGAAATGAATGAACATCTGTTTTTAATTTGTAGATGTTTAACAATGGTGGATCTGTCCTTGTATATACCTTGTTATCGACACTAATGTGTGTATATGTGATCTCTTTTGTATATTTCTGTATCGATTCGTTGTTTAATAATTCATCAGCAGTCATCTTCGATGGTGTTGATAGAATGGAGAAATTTTTAATCAATTCTATAGCTTCACGATCAAATTTTGCGTTCAATGATTGTAGAACACTCGCCACTATTTGTTCTCCACTTTCTCGTAACTCATTTTCATCAAAAGTTTGCTGAATGAGTACTGCTTGTGCTGGTGCTCGGGATCTCGTCGAGTGAGTTGTAGAAAGTATTGTTGGCATATATTGTTGTACATTATTCATTAACGTTCGTAATGAAATAAAATCAAACTCTTTCACCGTTTGACTAATTGCAGCTACGGCTGCATCCACGTGCATTGTAAAATTGTCCATGCACGATACCCTTGTTTCTATTTGTCGAAGAAATTTCATGGCCGGTTGTAAAATATTTTTTAAAAGAATTATTTTAAAAGCTGTTCGATTTTGTAATAAATCAATTGCATATCTTTTATCATCAGACGCTCCATCTATTTTCAGTTGAGAGATAGTGGTCAGAGTTTGAACGATCGATAAATAATGTTTAACACCAAATCGTACTGTTTCATAATTATAAGTCCATCGCGTATTGCTTGGTTTGGGTATTGTATGCCCTGTGAATGAAGAAAAGTACTCATCTTGTGTTTCTTTACAAAACTCCAGAGATTTGTACCTTTTTTGCTAGTTCCATTAATTTTTTTGGCTATTCAATAATATTTCCAGTCTCTGTGGACTGTCTCGGATGAATCCTAAGGGATTACTCGAACATTACATACATACTGTTTCATTGCATCATCATTCTTTTACTCTCTTCCTTTTATGTGACGACGTAACAACCAAACGAATCCTAAACTAGCTTTTAATGCATCGAAAGAATCATTACAATTATTCTCGATTGCTTCTTTCACTGCCAAATTCAACAAATGACTACGACAATACAAATAGGTCGCCCAGGTCGATAAGCGTGCTTGAACATGGTCGGTCGTCTGAAACCTCATTGATGATACACCATCATATGTTTGACCAGTGATAATAAACTGTTTGTGAGCATCTTTTTCTAACTGATCAACAAATGATTGAATTATATGAAAAAAGCCTATAAGAAAAAGAGAAGTTTGCCCTGTTCATCTCAACATTGACGTATTCTCGTATTGTACCTTCACCAGTAGTATCAAATATTGGCTTAATTTTAAATAGTTCCTCTTCAATTGTACCTGTATCTTGTTCAACATATCGCAAACAAATTGACACCATTTTTTGTATTGAAATATCTTGTGTTTCGTCTACAATTATATTTATGTAATTTGATTTTCTAATAGATTGCATTTGTTGTTGTTGTATGTAACTGTTTATCGATAAGAGCCATTCTGAAATAGCTTCGTGACCCCAATATCTAAAACGGAACGTACTAACATTATTTTGTTCTACTGGGAGGAAGTTTGATGCTATACCTTTGTTTGACATTAGACAATTTCATCCATTCAACAATCCCTGGACATTCAACTCGTTGTAAGAATTGTATCAATGATTTAAATTTCATGAGAGCGATTTCTTCTGTCAAAATGTACCAAATTGCTTGTATTAATATGGATAAATATTTTTCCGTTTGTTTTTGCATGTTTACACAGCGCATTTGATCAACAACATTTCCTTTATTACGAATAGTTCTTCCAATAATACGCCGTTCTTTTGATTGTCGATACAAATCACTTTGTTCATGCTCACGAATACCTGATGAGCAGAAAGATTACAGTAATGATTTATTATCTTCCATACCTGTATGTTCCAGTTTCCAATAAGGTCTAGCAATAAATGCACCACCACTTCGTTCGATTTTTGCTTGATCTGATGCAAATTCACTACAATCTGCACATAACAACCCGTATTTATTATCTGTGCAAACTGTTCATAACCAGGAGCGATGATCACTAAACCATTGTTTACTTGGTTTATGAATCGTTTTATGCTGTTGTTCTTTGGAATGTTGTTCCGGATACCATTTGATGTTCGAATGTTGAGCACGTTGTTTATCAACAAAAGATAGTTCTTGACTGTTAATAAAACGAACACCGGCTATAGATTTTGTTACTATTGGTGGGCGACTAATATCTGTGTGCTTGTGTTGTACAATAATATCATCATCAGCATTATTAATATTACAATTGCTATCTTCTGTATCATCACTCTCACTATTTGTTGTATCGGAAGAAGTGTCACTTTGAGATTGGTCTGACATGTGTTCTGAAGAAAAACCATCAGCCAGATGAAAAGAAAAAGCTAAAAAGTTGTGATTTTCAATTCAACTTACGAGAAACTACTACACTATCATCTATCGCTTGAAAATCATTTGTAGTTGTTGGTATTAATAAACAGATATCAGGACTTTTTGGTTCATCAATGGCTGCAAAGGATGAAAGTTGTCAAATAGACCTAAAAATGTGATAGGAACTGGTTTTTCATACCTCTGTCCGTTTCCATGTTTTCAGCATCAGTAGTTAATACGGGTGCTTCAATAATTAAAGATGTATTGACAAAACTGGATTGATTGCTATCCACAGACTGTGCATCTCCAGAAGATTGAATATCACTTTATTGCTGGTCTGAGGGGATGTTTGTTTGGTAATAACAAAATTTTTCATTGAAAATATGTTTTTTGTAACTACACTTGGTGATGTGGTGATTGCTGCTTTTGATGAAGCAGATGAAGTATTTGATTTAAGTTGTTCATATTGATTATTAATTTTTTCTTCTGACATTAACATGGAGTGTTTTGCACGGCAGTGATCTTTCCACTTTTTGAGCAACATCGTTTTTGCGCACACTGGATAAGAAACCTCTTTACTAATGGGATATACAGATTTAGAAGCCATTTTAGAACAAAATACTTATACAAAGCAAACACAATTTATAATATCTATGAAGTAATGCACTTAAAACTACTATTTTTTGATGGAATATCAAGAAACAGCGACTTGTGTACGATTTTTGTGTACTCAAAAAGTGAGTACACTCTAGAATCGGTCAGTGTGTCCGGCCGTTTACACGATAACTTTCGAAAGGAGAGTCCGATCGCGATGAAATTTTCTACACAGTTTAGTCTTAACAATATCTCGGTCGAGAGAAGAAGATGAGAAGGATCGGCCGAGCTGTTCCTGAGTTATTGCAAAAATACCCATTTTTTCCTATGGCTTCCTATCGGAAAATCGATCCATCGCCGCTTTCGTAAAAGACTTTTCCTATCATAGTCAAATAAAACCCCAACTATTATATACCATTCGATAGAGAATTTCAAGAGCTACAAAATGATATATAAAACATTAGGAAACAAGAAGACTATCTCACCCATTGGAAAGGTAAAAAGGCAAGAATCGGTTCTGTTTTTGTGCACGCTCTAATTGATTCCCAATTAGAACTCTATCTTCCTATCATAGAGGTGATAATCGAAGGTTTTCTGGAGCGAAGAACTAGAATCTGCACTAAACTTGCCTCGAAGCCCCATTGGTTGAGTATTGACCAATAGAAATCAAGTTATAGGAAAAACGACTTTCTGAGGCTAAGTAAAGCCGAAGAGTTGAAATTTGAGCTGTATACGATCCCAAGTCCTACCGGTTGTGCAGTAGGCAATGAAATTCAAGGGTTTATAGAAAAGGTTTGCCAGGCAAATTTTTATATCCAACCATTCTAGGATGACCGATTTGTCTCATTCACTTTTTGAAGTACACATAACTCTCGGATATAAATCCGAGATTTCCACATTTATTTTCTTATAGTGCCAATTTTGTGGTACCTAGTAAAATTCCTTAAGAAGAATGTTTTCAAGAGAAAAAAAAGCACCCCAAATTATTCAAAGTATTCACAGTAAAAATTTCAGGTCGATTGATTGCGGTGCGAGAGGAGAAAAGGGGGAGAAAACTTCATTTTTTTGCTGAAAAAACTGATTTTGAGAAAAACACAAAGAAATTTCTGTTTTTTTGGTTTTTTCAGTATATTTTGTGATTTTTTTCGAAGTTTTTTATATATAAGATGTGGGTTTTCAGTTCTCAAAGTGTGTTCAATGGATAGAGGGCATTTAAATCTATATACTAATCACAAAAAATGCGAAAATTTTGAGTCAGGAAAGGGGGGTCCCCTTAAGAGAGCATGGCAGCATATAACATAAGAAATGAAACCAACTTTTCACAAGAAATTTAAAACAAATAACATCGACTTTCTGCAAGAGATTTAATGGAAATCATAACGACTTTCTGCAAGAAATTTGGCAGAAACTAAATCAACTTTCTGCCAGAAATTTTGTAGAAATAATGTATACTTTCTGCAAGAAATTTAATAGAAATAACAAGGACTTTCTGTGAGAAATTTGGCAGAAACTAAATCAACTTTCTGCCAGAAATTTAACAGAGATAACATATACTTTCTGCAAGAAATTTAATAGAAAGTACCTTAGGTTTAATTTTAATTCAGCAAATGCAGGAGTTTTCTGCTGAAGTGAACTTAAAAAAATTCGCAGAAACTATCATCAAAAATTTGGGCAGAAAGTCTGAAATTTTGGAGGAGAGAAGCCCCTCCCTGCTTCCCCCCTAATCGGGAACTCTGATCCTAACAATTCCAATAAGATTTTGACAATTTTGAACAGTCAAAATTTAATAAAAAAAACAATTGATCAACTCGCTCAGGATCTCTATCTAATTTGAGAACTTTTTCGAAAGTGTTTCATGAGATCCGGTGGTCACATCATTCGTTGTGACCAAGTATCAGACAAAAAATTGCAAATATCAATTTTTTGATTAAAATATTTCATTGATAAATCCATAAAACACTGTACTATTCATTTATAGACTACTGTTAAAATGCTTTTAAAATCCACTTTACCTCAAAGGTTGGGGAAGTTTGTAAGAGAAAAACGAAAAAATTTCTTGAGAGAAGCATAGAAATGTTCATACATCTTTGACATACGCGCCCTCTCGTTCCCCGGAGCTTCTTTAAGAATAGCCTCTATTCTCATAAATGTTTGTCTAAGGATAAATGGAAGGACTATTTGTATTCAAAATCTGATAAAGTTTTATGAAACGTTTTGAGATTTGTTGAAATGATCGAATGAGCAGATAAGCATATCTATTTAAGAGTTCAATGGTTTCAACTTTGAAAGTTGAATTGACTTGTTAAATAACAATTAAACAATTAAACAAGTGAATATTGCTTTGTGTATGTATGTATGTATGTATTGTGCTAAGAATTTGTGGTAGGTTTAGCGATAGAAATGTCTATTGTATCTCAATTATCATTAAACAATTGAATAATTAAAATATTCAATAAATGAATTGAACTTTTGAGTTTGACATAGCTAAATCGAAGATGAATTTTAATATTAGTTGACAATAAATAATTATTTTATTAATATTAAATAAAAAAATTTCAATGACTATAACTTCACGTCATCTACAGGAATTTTATAAAAAAAAAATATTCTAATCTATTCGTCATTTTGATTTGTAGTTGATGAAGCATAACGATAGGTGATTGTTGATTATTTATATTGAATTTAATGATTAGTTTATAAAAAAAAATGTCCTCACGACTTTATGTACCTTGTTCAGCATTGAATCCAGAAGATATAGAAAGTCTTGTTCAGTTATGTTCATCGCAAGATAAAGATCGTGTTGATAAACATGGAGGTCGCAAAGCAGCACTTAAATATTTATTAAACTTCCAATCAGCTGGATTAGATTTATCACCTTATATCGATTTAAAAGCATTGGAAAAATTAAAAAACGAAATTAATAAATTAAAAACAATTGATCTTTATAAAAAAGAATTTGATGAAAATCAAGATGATAAATTTGAACCATATTGGGAATTAACCAATCAGTCACGTAAAATTCATTCAGTAGCTAAAGCAAATCGACAATTTACAGATAAAAAAGTTTGTTTTTCACCTGAACAATTAAAAGTTTATTTTAATCCAAAACAAATAGCTAATATACCTTATTCACAAGGTACTTATGAATCATGTGGTTTTGTTGATAGTGATGCGAGAGATAATATGATTAAATATCCTATTATTCAACGTCATAATAAAGGTCAAATAAATACAATACAAGGAAGAATTGAACAAGCTATTTTTCATGTTCCATCTGGAAAACAAATTATTATTTTAGATTTTGCAGATGAAAGAATGCCTGCAGGTAATATTTGTTTATTTACATATTTATAACATAATTATATTGATTATCAATAGGTCTTTTTCTTTATGGAGCTACAACACAAGAAGAAACAATTTGTTATAATTCGGATGCATATGGTGCTTTACTTGATTTTAAATATCAACGATTTGATGGAGGTTTTATCATTCCAGAATTTGGTTGTTTATATATAAAAAGTGCTCAATTTTTTAAACGAGATCAACCAGATGTATATCGATATGTTGATATTGTTGCTGCTGCTTGTTATGATTTAACAGGAGAACATGGTTTACATAATAAACCAGATTCTAATGAAGATATTGAAAAAAATACTGAAAAAAAATTAGAAACTATAATTGCTGCTGCACAAGCAAATAGTACAAATAATGGAGAAAATACTTATCTTATTTTAGGTCCTATTGGATGTGGAGCTTTTCAAAATAAAATTCAAACTATTGCCAAATTATGGGCTAATGTTTTATTAAAACCATTAGATACTAATTTAAATACAAAACAATATCATGTTTTTGAACAGATTTGGTTTCTTAGTGGTTCAGAAGATAAATTGAAGGCTTTTGAAGACGCTTTTCATCTTGACTCTCAACAAAGACAAAAATGTAATCAATTTAGATGATTAAAACATTCATCAAAGTAATTATTTATTATATATTTCTTATCGTTTTATTTTTATTTGTTAACATTTTTAGATCTATATTATTAATAAATATGAACTATTTTATCAAATCAATTTTTTATAATAAATAATTAAAGATTATCCAAAAAAAACACGTTACATTTTAAACAATTTTAATTAAATTTTTTATGA